TTTTACAGTACCACATGACTATCTCTGCACCTGATTACTTATTGGTGCTGCATCTTTAAAATCATAGCACTCTGCATTATTTACCCTGATTTCTTTTATTTTTAAAATTTAGAAGTGTTCCAATGGTTTAGAGAATAATTTGATGGCCTCTTTTGGTTGTTTGCGATGTAAGGGAGTTGAAACGTGTAAAAGGACCTTAGGGGAAATATATTTAATATATATTGCTTGACTGGTTAAAATGGTAATCATCTACCAGATACTGCAAGTCAGACAGTGGCTTCCGTGCCCAGCATCCCCTTAGCTCGCCTGCGGCCAGCCTATTTTTTTTATTTTCTTAGTAAATGAGATTACCCTCACTGCAGACCTCCCTCTAATATAGACCAGCTGATTCTGACTCATCCACTTTTCTCCCAAGCTTGTTGGTCACTGTTGTTTTAGCCTTTACAAATATGACTGTGCAAGGATAATGATAAACATCCAGTGAACTATCTCTGCTCTCCTCCCTATTTCAAGTCAGGGGAGCTACAGGGAAGCAGACTTGCTTCTAATACATAAAGAATAGCTAAACAGAGCTGTCTTTGAGTCTGCACTAATATGGGTTTGCAAATTTTGATCAGTAGTATCTGTGTTTAGCTAATCAGCCAACAGTGCTGCATTTTTAAACTGTATCTACTCTGTTTCCTCCTGCACATCAAACCTGACTGTTTTTATTGGCATTGTCCTTACTGTTTAATGATACATACTTTAATCAGCTAAACTAAAGTCAAAAGTTATTTTAACGATAAAAATCATAATTTACACTTATTTGGCCCTGCGATGGACTGGCGACCTGTCCAGGGTGTACCCTGCCTCTCGCCGTAGACAGCTGGAGATAGGCACCAGCACCCCTTGTGACCCGCTTGGGATAAGCTTGAGGGGAAATGGATGGCTATTCGATGGATAATGTAACTATGCTGGAATCTTTGGAAATGGGAGAATTGGGAGGGAACGTGTTTGCAGGAATTAAAAATATTTCCTGACCCAAGATGATGACCATCAGCTGACCAGACTTCATAGCCTTTGGTCTCAGACCCGCCTGACCCACAAAAACCTGTGATGAACTGGGAGTTAGTGTGTCTAAATATGATGTAGAGGAAAGGAAAGTGTAACTGGGTGCATGGTTCTAAAGAAACATAAATAAGTCTACATAAAAAGTCTGTGGTACATATATAATTAGATATATTCAGGAATTATAACAGGAAATAATTTTACATGTGTGATATAAGTGAAAAATAGACAAGGCTTCATGCCACAAACAGTTAATGTAAGTTTTACAGAAAAATATCTTAAAAATAGCCTTTTTGTTATACACTTTATGACTAAAACATACTTTAATGAGCAGACTGATACCTCAGTATTTCTGCATCTATAAGCCTTTAGCCCATTTTCCTGACCTTACAAAGAATCAACACATTATATTCAAGATGGATTTTGTTGAGTGTTTCGGTGGCAGTATCATTAGAAAACTACATAATGCCTGTTTAAAGATCCAAAATAATCGATGAAGGATTAGAAAACATCTAAACATAAGCTGTTCCCTAAACAAAATTATTCCTACCCGTATTAAACCCTATAGATGAGTGAGCTGCTTTCACAGACTTTATTTTTTTTTTCATTGTTGCTGATGTAATGGCTTGCTAGACAAAGCGCTTCCAGCTGAAGGCTATGCTAAGTAGCAACCAAGTGCCTCCAGAGAAGTCTGCACTCGCTGGACCGGGTCAGACTGCCTTTTTCCTACAATTCAGAAGCAGCTGAATGCAGTGTTTTTATTCTTCCTGCGATTCAAACAGAGTTGAATGCAGTGTATCCTGAATCCTGCTGCAGCAGAGACAGAGAAGAGCTAATCCAGCTCTGCTAACAGTCGAACAATAGGGCCCCAATCGCTGTTCGCCGAAGGAGCAGTTAGAAGCCACAGGACCGTGACTTCCTGAGACGAAGCAGCACCGAGGTGCTGCTAATAGGCTGTTGCTATGAGCTAACCACCATAGCTAAAACGGGAGACGTCCCGTGCTACCATGAGTTACAAAATTAAGTCCCTTGCAAATCGCCTCTTATTGTTGCATCGGATTGATCCAAATCTCTTTGAGTTTCTGTTGGACGAACGGACTGTGCTACCCCGGGGCCTGCAGAAAACCGGACTGAGCTGAAGGCCTTCACTCCACCAAACCAAAACATTTACTTTACCCTTCCCCCTCCTTTCCATCTGATGCTTAATAAGTACTCTGCTTGGGTGTACTAGGTAGAATAGGTAGTCATGTTGGTCATTTTATTTGAAATAAGCTTTAACGTTTTAAAGGTTTAACTGAATGCTAATTCTCACTACATAGACTGAACGAGTCACGTGCTGCTAAAGCTAACTGCTACATCATGAGCTAACCGTATTTGTTTCAGTTGGACCCGACCAGAACCAGAAACCTTGGGGCCAGATAAGCTAACAGGTTTGTCAGCCTTATTAAAGTTTAATGCATTCCTAAACTTAATGAAACTTCAATGTTTTTGCTGCAGTTAATGTCTCTGCATCAGGGTTTATTCACCTTTTATCTGCTGCTATTAATGGACACTTTCACATGCATTAAGCCTTAAACTTCGAACATCCCTCAGATTTTGAACGGACTCTTAAACCCCTCTTCCCCTTTTATTTCTTTAATTTTCCTTATTTTCAGTAGTGTTTAGTGGTTGATTAATTATTAGGTAAAATACTGTGTGATTGTGGCTAATAAAGGTACCATTGTTATTTAACCCATGGTCTTTTGTGTTAATTTTACACAGTTAACGATGTATTAATTCACTCTTCTTTCAGTGGCATTCACATGAACAGACATTTATTTGGTTGGTGATTAATATCGTTGCTGATAGCCATAGCCTAAATTACTAAATTGGTAAAAGACAACTGGACATTATTCTTTTAGGCATTCTTTGCAGAAAGAACAATACATAGAAGTTGTATGGTTTTGTAGGATGATTTAGTTTTCATGCACATTGGGGAGTAATTCCTTGTGTAACTGTGTGTCATTCAGCTTGTCTTCTCAGGCTTTGTTATGTCTATGCATATTTCTCTACCTCAGTCAGATTAATCCATCCTCTCCTCTTGCTTGATTTGTCCAGCTCTGCATTTTCAGGCCCAAACAACTTCCTTGCTAATGGAAAAATATATATTGCTGCAGTGCATACAAGTGTGTTGCCAATACCGAATGAACTAGTGCAATGTGTTGTTTCTCTCCACAGCCTCATGTTTTTTCCCCATATAAAGCCAGACATACACTGTGTGATATTTTCAATCGTTGCACGCAGCTACAGCTCAAACTGTATGATGAAACCGCAGGTTTTAAAAGTTCACAGCTCACGATGCATGTTCTCACACTGTACAGCCCAACACGCTGATGCAAACTAACAAGGACCGACTGAATTTCAAACATGTTTGATTTTCTCCCAACCTTAACATTCCTGATCGGGAGCTGGTTATGAGAGGCTGATCACTTCTTGTTACCCCCTGTGCTACACAACATTAGATGAGGCTGAAACTGGGACCGATCTAAAAATTCTAGCATGACTGGGGAATCGCCCCGAAAAGGGCAGAAAAATTTACAGTTTATGCCCAGCTTAAGAAACGGTGGCTTTGATGATTGTTGAAAGCAGTAGTTCAGTCTTGAACCTAAACACACAATAGGTTATAAATTATCCCAGGTATTATCTACTCTCTGTAGATATGAGAAAAAAAGATATGTGAAAAAAAGGCCTTGAAATTATTTATCTTTGATGCGATGAACCTTAAGCAAGAATTTTAGAATTGTGAATTCTTTCTTTTTTTTTTTTTTGGATTGTTGCATTTAGAAAATAACATGGTGAACACCCAATTTGTACTCCAGACCACTTGGAATGAAGGGTACAAAATTAATTTTGCCACCAAACACTGTTGAGTACATGATAAGGGTGTTAAATACACTACTTTAAAGCTTTTTTAAGTAGCTATTACATAAAACTGTTGTTCAGGAGCATACCTGGAAAATGCATTTGTCTTCGACACACACCATCTGATTACGTGCCAAAAATCCTAAACAAATGATGTACATGTAATATACATGTATTGATTACATTGTTGTGGTAATTACATATTATTTAAACATTTTATATTATTAACTGACGTGAAGTCTTAAAAATCTAATTATTATATTTTACTAAAATAATCTATGTGAAAATATGCTGTATTAGCTTTTATATAGACTAATTGAAAGTTTGATGAGTGTGATATATTTATGTACCTGGGGTATTTTTCCAGTGATCTGATACATTTCTGATTCTCAGGTCTGCGGTCACTGTTCATAAAATACTTCAAATGTTTTGCAGCAGTTTCAACTCATATATCATTCTTTAACAAAATATCTCTATCATTTCTAACAAACATAATTAGGCCTGCTATAAAGAGAATCTTGGTTTCAAACTGAGATTGTGTTCTCTCAGTGAGGTTGAAAACATATTAGACTCAGAAATAGCATCTTCTTCTCTTCATCTCCCCCTCTCTGTCCATCAGCGATGTGCCAACTGTCAGATGTTGCTGTCTTCCTCGGCAGTCCCTTCATCTGTCTCTCTAATGGGAATCCCCCTCTGCTTTCTCTTTAGACAGCTCTTATTTCAACAATCCCCCACGCTTTTCCGCTTGAGCGCCCCATTCCCTTGCCAGTCTCTCTTCCTTTGCAGACTCTATTCACTGATTCTTGGTATCTCATTAATTCGTTTTAAAAATGTATATTTTGTTCTGCTGTTTAATTAGCCTGTTCTGTTCTGCTGTACTTTGTAGAATTGTCTAATTCCACTTTTTTTTCCTGATCCTGCGAAATATATATTGTTGATGTGACAGGTTGTTGCTCTGTGATGCTGTCAAATGATTATCAGTCATTCTAACAACCCTTTATCTCCACCCACCCCTCTCTGTTCCCCCTTCTATGCTGCTCCTGGTTTGATAGTGATGTGAAAGTGTGCAGAAACCGAAGGCTTTGCTGGTTCACAGAGGAGCTCCATATGCAAAGGTAAAGTCTTCCTGTATCCATCTTCCTCTTTACCCCTCTCTGTCCGTGGTTCTGAACACCACCCATCACTGTAGGAAATAAATACAGCAGCAGAATACAAAACCTGCCTTCAAAAGTCCAGATGGAAAATTGGAGATTATTTTTCTGTCTGTCAAACATATACATGCACACATGCAGTGAAAGCGCCACGGACATGTTATTCATCCTGTGATTTACTCTTTATTTCCTTTGAGGAAATGTCTACAGCTGAGTGCATTTTTCAGCATGTGTGAGTGTGTATTGTCTCTGTGAGGTTCCAAAAATCTTATTTTCTTTTCGTTTATGAGAAAAATCTTAGCTGTCAGAGGTTTATGGGTTACAGCCACCAACGAGCAAAATTTTTGCAAGATGAAAAATGGATGGTGGTACTGTACATTTTTCCCAGAGCTGCTCTAATCAAATGTTCTAACATCATAATGCACAGTAGTAGTTTTCCATCTAGTCATATGATTTTAAGGTTACATTAAAAATTGGGTTTTAGTCTTATTTAAAAAGTATTTACATTTCAATTTTGACACATTTGCATCTTCAAAACATCCAGTACAAAACCAGATAGAGATAATATTAAAACACTTAAAAATGGGAACATATCAAGTGATTCAATATGTTTCAATCAATCATATGGCCTTTGTGTGGTAAACTGATGTTGTGATGATAAATACCTGGGTAAAATCATTCTATTGTAAGAATGTACAGTATAATGGTGAGGAACCTACAGAGACTGACATGTACACATAACCTGACAGTTTGCAGATACGTTTTAATACTCCGTCAGTAACTTAGGACGGGGCACAAAATAACGACATCTTGCATCTTGAATATTTAATGCTGCTATAAACTAACAAGGCAGTTACTAATACAAGCTTACTGTGAACAAGCAGATCAGCTGAGGATTTTATAAAAACTCTCTGACTCTCTCAGTATTTAGCAACACTTGTCTTAACAGGTTTATCTGTTAGAAACTGTTGCATGTCAGTGATTTCAGATGGTTATATCTGAATTCACTGACATATACAGATGGTTCATCTTCATCTTGTTCATAGTAGAAATTTTCTTTGTCTGCTCGCTAACAGTGGATAAATTAGCAAGTAGATAAACCTACAAAATCAAATAATTGAGTGGTTTGTGTTTCTAAATAGCAGCATGCAGGATTTTATTGCTCGATGGATCACATTTCATTGATTTTGTGCATCTAGATTTAAATTCCCAAAGCTGCATTTTTCACAGCTGCTCTACTAAGGCACTCACATTAATGTTTACGCTATGAATAGGTTAAACTTGTCATTCCTAATAAGCGCATAAAGATAACATTAGTAAAAGATCATTTATGTTTTTCCTTAGATTATAATTAATGAATACACAGAGCATTAGGGAAGTGTTCTTAGCATTTTCATTTTTTTTACAGCAAAATTTCATAAAAAGTTTTATTATTTTTTCTTATTTTCAAGAAACACCATGCAATGATAATGTCATTATCGTTTAAAAAAAAAAAAAAAAAAATGAAACATCACATTCAAATAAGCAATTATGGCATTTTCTATAAAATAACAAAATGAATTCATGGCAAGAACTGAGACTTATATTCAAAACTAATCCATAATTACTGGAATAAATGTACTTTACTTATGATTGCTGAGGAGATTTTAGCTAATTACGGTATGCATTTTTTCATATAAAGTGGGATACCAATATTCAAAAGAATGAATACTGACATTGCATCCTATACGTCTCTGCTGATTTTTTACCAGGTTCATTTTGCTTTCTTTCAACCAAACAAAAAAAAAATGGTATTAATATTTTTCTATATCAGGAGACTTCCTATCTGCTAGTCTGCATTGACTAGAAATAAATTATGTTTAATCAAAAAGCCTCCGTCTGTCTGTGTGTCACAACTGGGTCTTACTGAATCTTTTCAATACAAAGCAAACAGGGGAATATTGTAAGGATCTTGGTGTGATTGTATCCACCCTGTCTGCTCTGATCAATGATCAAAGTGAGATAAAAGCTGACAGAACACTGTCATTATCATCAGCCTCATTGTTAATATTGTTCCTGTGACCTTTATCATTTATCAGCTTAATTATCCTCATTATTATTATTTCATCCTGCACAAACGTACACACCATTGTTACCAAGTCAGCCCCTCCATTATTTCAATCTTCTCCCTGACAAGCAGCGTCTCCGTTCCTGCAGGCACATGTTGCATCGTGCACTTGTCTATCAGCTCTTAAACACTAAGTGGTGTTTGACCAGGATTCAAGGCTTTTCTATTATCGTCCCCTGCTGCTTGTGTATAACCGGTATCTCTGTGTTGTTCGTGTGTGTGTTTGCATGTAATGAGGCGATTTTCATTCGTCCTGCTTGTCCTCTTGCCCTGTCAAGTCCACTGATTCAATTTTTGTGTTGAGCTAAAGGAGATGACTGTGTGAATGTGAGTGCAAGAAAGTGAGAATCCTGCCAAATAGGTCTTATCTATAAACAAAATCCAAATAAAATGTGGAGATCAATGCTGAGATGGAGTTTAATACAGAGACCTTTGCATTGACTTAATGTTTGTGGAAATTAGAAAAAGGTCATTCAAAACAAGCAAAACAGTTGCATCTGGATGTAAACAGATTGGTGTGTGTTGTAACAATTCAATATTGAGTAGGAGCGAAATCTCTCATTTCAGGAAGCTTATAGTGAAACAGACGGAGACAGCTTTACTTCATGGTCCTCATCAAACAAAATAAACACAGGCGAAAAAGAAAATTTAGGTTGTGCCGCTTATGCTTATTTATAAATGGAAACAATGCGCAACACACATTAACAGGTACAGACTTTCATGGGATATTTAATTTTATCATCCCAATATTGCCATTACACAGGTGGATTGTGGCATATTAGATTGTTCACTGAAGCAATATGCCAACACTTCGCTATAGCAGCCTGTTTCACACATCAGCTAGTTTTGTGTAAAAAAAGACACTCTTGCAAAGCCTGCAATGATCCCCTCAGGTAATCAACACATGTCAAACAAAGGCAGCTCAGTGCTACATAGATGGTTTGTGGAATAATTTCAAAAAGAGGCTGCTCCACACAAAAAGGTTAGAAAAATTAATATCCATATCTTTCAGGGTAGATCTAACGGCTAACATTGCCGTTTAAATGTTTCCTCAATTGTAATATCTTCCAATATAACAAAAATCTCACTCAATTTTGATTTAATGAGGCCAATAAAGGAAAAATGTTGTTTTGGGGCCAGTAACAAAAACAAAACAAGAACATGGTCTGTTGCATATTCACTGGTTGAATATGGGCAAACACTTGTAGGTCACATAACTTCAGATATGTTTCAGAATTACAATACATTTAGGGAGTTAGTTTTATGTTTTTAATAAATTCAAGAAATAAATTGATCTCAAAAGGGGAAATTATTTTGAAAGTGAGATAAATGTATTGGACCTAACAAATTTTCATAACTGATGTTACTGGAGACTCAAGAAAACATTTTCAGAGAAAATGCTTTGGCATAAAATATGTATGAGATAAATTGACATTTGTTAAATGATTTCGAGGGGAAAAAAGCTCTCTCAAAACTATATTTTTACTCTCAAATATTGTTATTGTGCAATCAGATTGAAAACGTCTTCTCTCAATTATAGATTTCTCTCTCAAAGTGTTTTTTTCTCTCTCTCAGATCCTTAAGTATTCGGTCTTGATTAAAGATTTTCCATTGGCCAGTCTCAACAGAAGTGACTATTGAGTGGTGATATTAGGTGTGTTCGAGATGAGCAAAGCCTTGCCTGGAAATTAAATGTTACATTTTCAAGAAATGCGACCAGATATGTTTATCAATGAGCTGGGATCAACCTGTTTTTGCCGGTCTTGGTCTTGGGTTACGTATCAGATCTTTTTGCCTCGTTTTCGGCCTTGGACTTGTTTGACAATTTGAATCAAGGACAGTTCAACACTGTAGTTTTAATACAAAATGAAAAAAACATAACCCCTTTGATCTTCACCTACAGACCCACATTGCAATGCATGTGAATTAAAAAAGAAATAATCAGAGCATCCCTGGATCCTGCCATCTCTGACAAAACACAATGTTATTGTTCTTAATGACCTGTGAAATGTTACTGTGAAAATGTTTAGAACACCATGGCATTTGGTTCTTTGATTATTGCTGCTGTTGATCCATCACTTTTAAAAGTGAACATTTACCTAAAGTCTTGTTTTCACTGAATGCACACCTGCTTTCTCAATACTGAACATGTACTCAGTTTCAGGAAATATTAAATGTTATTTTCAAAATTATGAAGACTTTAAAGAAAGGGGAAAGAAAAAGCACTGGGCAGGATGTAGATTCTGTCCACCTCCTGCATTAAGCTTATGTGTAGAACGGGACAACCTCGGAAAATACAGCGGCAATAAAAGTCGAATTCACTTCAACCTTTGGGCAAATATGGCAGCTATAAAGTGTTCAAATACGTATTTAATCTAGTAGGAGGGATTCAGGACATACGGCAACAAAATGGATTAAAACACATCGACAACACCCAAAGAAACAAAGAAATGCTGTATGGTTAACACGCATGCTAGTGCTACACTGTTTTATTAGCCACACAAGTAACCTTTCAAATTAAAACTCAAACTCTACACTTTCTATGGCAGCATGAGATCCACCCTCCCTCCACCCTACCCAGACTGTAGATACATTTTAATATAAACATCTTTTTGGTATAGCATAAAGGGCAACAATAAAACAATGCTCTATTGGAGCTGCAGTCTTGACTGTTATGTTACAGAAAAGCACTTTTCCATTATAGCCACACCTCCTGCAATGTAATCGGTCAGGCTAAGTGAAAACATCATGATTAAGCAATTAAATACTCACTTAGAAAATATATTTACGACTCGACAGGTCTTACTGTCAGATTTGATTGAATTATGACAATAGAGCCTCTAATGCACCTACTGCT